TTTCTAAAAAAAAAAAAAAAAAGTATTTCTTGTACAATGTCGAATGAAACAACAATATAGTAGTAGAAAGAAGTATTTGTAAAATGTTGAATTCTACACCATTATTAGCACCTTTAAACTATTAAAACTTGTAGATTAAATCAGAGAAAACCAGGATATTAGCATAGCGTAATTGGCAATATTCACTGTCTCCTTGGCAGAAAACAGTACAGTAGGGAATATTGTCTCAAGAACTTTGAAACATAAACATGTAAATATATGAATGTACAGAGTGCAACACAAAGCACCATGGCCTTGAATGAAGCAAGCTAGCTATATTACAGAGGAATATCAGCTACTACTGTATTTACAAAGTCTGATATATATACCTCTTAAGAAAGGAAACCAATAGAAAATCTGATGTTTGCCTAGAAGATTGTCAGAGCTCTTGGCTGTTGGAATGAATCAAAGAAAGAAGAAATTCTTACATCTGCCAAGATGTAATACTCTAGTATTTTTCAATTACTTTTGGTTTCCGTTGAATTGGCAATCTAGTCGAACTCCAAGTCCTCTTATTTTGTTTAGCCGGAGTACAAGTAGATGCTGTTTCTGGTTTTCATTCTACACTCAAGACTTCTAAATATGTCCCTTTTGACTGGAAATCCGAAAGCAACAGAAGTCTCTGAGCTAATATTCTTGATCAAAAAGTTTCCCAAGGCACTCAGTTACGAGAATCAACTCAAGCAGAAATGCAATTAGCTTTCTCCCAACCTCATATTTTCACCTTAGCATGTCTCCAGCAGCCAGTCGCAAGCAACTCAAGGCCGGTGATATGCTAAATGTGTTGCCATCAGCATTATAAAATGAAGGATGTCCAAGAGGTGCTGGCCTATCTGGAATTTCAGGAACCTCAGTATCTCCTTCCAACATTTTCAGTGCATCCAATATAGTTGGCCTCAACGCCACCATCACGTGGGCGCACAATATTCCAACGAGAAGAAATCTTACCATTATAGACCTTGGATTTGCGTTTCCTGAATCCTCATCATTCTTTACTAGGACAGCATCCAAAACTTCATTTATCTTTCCAGCTTTTACCTTCGACCAAGCCCAATCTGTGATCAGAAAAGCACGAGGCGACCCTGAAGTGAAATCAAGGACCTTTCTTCCACACATTATTTCCAAAACAACAACTCCAAAGCTATAAACATCGCTCTTCTCAGTCAATTGCCCATAGAGAGCATATTCGGGAGCTAAGTAACCATGTGTTCCTGCTACACGGGTGGTAAGATGAGACTGTCCTTCTCTACTTTGCTTAACCAACCCAAAATCAGCCACTCTTGCTCTCATATCAGCATCTAACAGTATATTCGTTGCTTTAATGTCCCTGTGATAAATTGCTGGCTTTACCCCATAATGCAGATAAGCTAATCCTTTTGCCACATCCAAAATTATGTTTTTTCTCTGAGGCCAAGTCAACGGTTGCTTCATCTTTCCATCTTGATTTACATGAAACAAGTGATCATCAAGATTTCCACTGGGCATGTAGTCATAAACCAGGTATCTTTCACTCTCCCCACTTTCAATCCGATTCTCATCAGTCACACAACACCCTCTAAGCGGCACAAGATTACGATGCTTCAAGTTACTTATGATCTCAACCTCATTGCAAAATTCATCTTTTTCTTGAAAATCAGATTCTATAACCTTTTTGACAGCAACAACAGTACCATCTGCTAATGTTCCTTTATAGACTACTCCAAATCCACCTCTCCCTATAAAATTCTTTTGGGTAAAATTATCTGTTGCCTTCTCAAGCTCCTGAATTTTGAACCAAACAGCAGTTTTAGGCCTCATTCTTCGCCTAGACACTGTATCTTCCATTTCCACATCATCATTTTTCCTCCACCTTTTGTTCCACCAGTAATACAATCCCAACATAATAGACATGCATAATATTGCAATACCAGCTCCAGCCAACCCAAAGATTAAAGCTAAATGTCTCTTACTTGATGAACTTTCATTCAAATCAATACTAAAAATACATGATATGGCACCAGTACTTTCAGGACCAAACTCATTGACAATTCCAGCAGCATACAAAACTGTGAAGTAAAAACAATCAGTGGAATGAGATTTATTACCATCAATTGCAATCAACTGTTGCTGAACTCTAAGGCCAGCTGCTACACATCCATCACAGGCAGTAAAATCCTCAAGATCAGACCTACAACCAGAATCCAAAACAGTTGAAGGCCCCAGCTTTTTAGTCCAATCTTTTGTGGTCTGAATTGAAGCACAAATATTTGGTGTGATGACAAACTGAGAAGGGTCAAAACAGAAAGAGGAAAGATTTGAAGGCAGAGACAAAGAATTGAGCTTTGATTGGAATTCTTGGATGCAAGAAACAGAAGTTTCCAAATTGGGCAGATGGAAAAGGGAGGTTTCTTTAAGATGTTGAGCCATAGCAACACCAAAAAGGGACAAAAGGTTCTGACAACACTGGCCTTTGCTTGATGTAGGAATATCAGAACCATTGGAAATCTGAGGAGTTGAATTCAGAACTTTGCATTTAGAACTGGACCATGGAACTCTTAGAACATAGCCAAAATCTAAGGGACAAGTTGCAGACAGATTTCTGCTATTTTGAGCTGAGGACATTGAAACTACCCAAGAAAAGAGACAGAACAACAAACACACAATCCACAAATCACCCTTCATCTTTTAGCGATCTATCAAAAGGAGGACCTTTGATTCAAGAAACCATTTTAAAGAGTTTTTGTAATGATTGATGATCTGTGTAGTTTGTCTTGTTGTGTAAGAGGGTGTGTGCCTAGAGTCAAAAGGTTAGGTTCTTTTTCCTGTTCCTGGATTTTGTTAAGGCGGCTGACTTTATAAATCAACTAACAAAGAGGAATCAAATAGGAACGTGCCTCAAGAAGCTACTTAGATGACAATTTAGGATAATGTAATTTTGATAATTAAGAAATATTTAGGTTATTTCCTAGAAACATCAGAATTTAGTACTCCTAAAAGATTTTCTAGTTATTGCCTAGATGTCATCACTAAAATAAAAGGGACAGAGATGTTTGCTCACTGTTTGAGAAAATGATAGCCGCTCTCGAATAATAGTCGAAAATATTTTTTTATATATTTTTTTTATATATATATTATATACAAAAATTATATAAATTTTATATACTTTTTCGATTTCGGAATGTAAATAATTTCTGACGCAGACTAAAAGTGATATTTGCCCTTACTTTCTGCAAAGGAATTTTGTTATATTCTTGTTGCTATTATTTTTTTGAATGTAAGAAAAAAAAGAAAAAAACATTTTAATTAATCAGTTATGATAGAATCTATTACATGATGATAATCTCATTTTGTTTGTTGATTTCTGAATTTGTATTTCATTAATTAAAGTCAGACCAGACAACATCGATATTCTTTTAATAGTCTTATCATTTTCTTTTAATAGTCTATCATTAAAAAAAAAAAAATTGATTCTTTGTCTATCTTTTCTTTAAAAGACAAGGAATACAATTTTGAAATGATTATTTGCTTATGAAAGCATGACATATGAACTAAACAAGTTTAATTTGTCAATTCAGATTAATTTTTGCCGGTTAGATTGTATTTAGTTAAATAATCTAAAACCTTATTGTTTGAGAGAAGTTGGAAGTAGTGAAGTTGCAAGGAAACGCATTGGTTTTGTTTTATCTCTCTACTGATTCATGGTTACTAGTCAGTCTTGACGTCTTGACTTTTATGCTTTTGCCTTTCTTACACCATACTATCAAAATCGGGTTTACCCTTCGAGATTGTCATTGTAATATCGAGCCATGATGCGGAATTTGATTGTCGAGCTCGAACCCCAAAAATCAATCTAGATCGATATCGATCAAGATCGAGCTCGAGACATCGAGGTCAAACAAATAGAGATCGGCCAAGATCGAGCTCAAGCCCCAGAAACCAATCAGGATCGAGATCGGCCAAGATCAAGATCGAGCCAAGAAACAAAAAAGCCATTATAGCCGCAATTAGGGGGAGAATCTCGGCAGAAATCTCGGCTTGAATCAAGAAAAAACTAATTAATTAATCTATCATGAGATCCCCAATATGTATTTTTAATTATATCCAAATTGGAATTCCTCCACTATATTAAAAGTTGTTATCATTTGTAGAGAGGACACATTCATTCTGAGATATACAGAACATCAAGCAAATACTATCCTTTTTTGGCTTTTGATATTTAGTCATATTGTTTCTTCTACCAATCGTTCTTCACTCAATTTGGAGGTGATAAAACTTGAAGGCTTAGGCTAACTAGTTCATTCGGTTTGTATTCATTTCTTTTATAACTAATTTCAATATTCATTTACATATCTTTCCCAATTTGTATCAATTTATATCACGTATCCTTAGAACTACGTATAAATTCAACTCTATCCGTTTTTCAGGTAAACAGTTTGGCGCCCACCGTGGGGCTAAGGATAATAGTGGTTATTTGGTACGAATCTCTATAAAACGCACTATTTTACACTTGCTCTTGGAAGTATCTTTGATTTCAGGTTAAAAATGATGAACTCTCAATTAATGGCCCTACCTATCGACAACGAAACTGGCCATGAAGGTGAGAATAACAACCTGACGCCCGGGGATGAAAGGCCACTCGTTGACCCCGTTGGAACTCTGGCCGTAGATCCAATTGACATTAATTTACATGTGGCCATTGAAGCGAACCAACATTCCGACCCCGAAAATACCATTCATGGTGGAACTCGATCTGCAGTTCGAAATACCCAAAATGCTGGAGAAGACCGGATCAACCTACGTATGATTTCCGAAATGTTGCAAACTCAACAGGTAGCGATAGCTCAGTTGCAGAGCCAAACCCAGGAACCGAGCAGGCCTGAGCTCGGTCCACCCCGAGAAGTCACCAACGGAACGGGACCAGCTGTAGTAAGGTCAAATGAACAAGAATCGGGGACTAACCCCGAAATTATAAATATGCTTGAGGAATNCCGAGCGCAGCTCCCAAACTGATCCCCAAGAAGTTCCACGTTCCCGAAATTTCTAAATATAATAGAATGACCGACCCCAATGAACATGTCACCTCGTACACATGTGCCATTAAAGGAACGATCTAGAGTATGACGAAATCGAATCCGTATTATTAAAGAAATTCGGGAAAACCCTGTCAAAGAGAGAAATGATATGGTGTCATAATTTACCACCTAACTATATCGATTCTTTTGCCATGCTTGTAGATTCTTTTGTAAAAGCACACGCCGGAGCCATAAAGGTCGAGACTAGGAAGTCGGACCTTTTCAAGGTAAGGCAAAAAGATAACGAGATGCTAAGAGAGTTCGTATCTCGTTTCCAAATAGAACAAATGGATCTATCATCGGTCACAGACGATTGGGGCGTTCAAGCTTTCACCTAAGGACTAAACGAACGAAGCTAAATGTCTTCACAACAGTTGAAGCAGAACTTAATTGAATACCCGATTGTTACCTGGGCCGATGTACATAATCGATATCAATCGAAGATTAGAGTCGAAGACGACCAGTTGGGCCCCCCTTCTGGGTCCGTTATTAAAAGGGACATCGACCGAGAACCGAGGTTGAACAGGGACTGATACCAGCCGTATAATGAAGATCGTAGGGGCAACGAACCAGGACGCAACTCCGTACGAGGTGAAAGGAGAAGTGATCGAGGCCAAGGGTCTCGAGGGCTGATGAACAAGAATGGTTTCGACAGGCATATCGAACCTAAGGAAGCACCGCAGTTATCAGAGTATAACTTCAACATTGATGCATCCGCCATCGTATAAGCTATAGGATGCATCAAATATACTAAATGGCCTCGACCTCTGCAGACCGATCCAGCCCAGAGAAATCCCAATCAAATATGCAAATATCATGGCACCCATAGCCACATAACGGAAGATTGAAGGCAATTGAGAGAAGAAGTAGCTAGTTATTCAATGAAGGGCACCTTCGAGAGTTTTTAAGTGACCGGGCCAAGACTCTTTACAAAAACAAAGAGTTCAATAGATAAAACAAACAAGAAGAGCCACAACACATTATCCACATGATCATCGGAGGGATCGATGTCCCCCATGGGCCAGTGCTTAAACGCACTAAGATGTCGATTGTAAGAGAGAAGCGATCTCGAGCTCATGATTACATACCTAAAGGAGCCTTGTCCTTTAATGACAAAGACGCAGAAGGAATCATGCAGCCCCATAACGATACACTGATAATATTTGTACTTATGAATAAAACTCAAGTTAAGCGTGTGTTAATTGATCCAGGTAGTTCAGCCAATATCATTCGATCGAGGGTCGTAGAGCAACTCGATCTACAAGACCAGATCATGTCCGCAACCCTGGTACTAAATAGATTCAATATGGCATGTGAAATTACTAAGAGCGAGATAATTCTGCCAGTAAACATGGCCGGGACCATCCAAGAAACGAATTTTCATATGATCGAGGGCGACATGAGGTATAACGCCCTGTTCGGGAGGCCGTGGATCCACAACACGAGAGCAGTACCCTCGGCCCTTCACCAGATTCTAAAATTCTCAACACCAGAGGGATTAAAAACAATCTACGGAGAGCAACCAGTCGCAAAGGAAATGCTTGTCATCGATGAAGTGATTCCGATATCATCACTCTCATCGACAAAAGGATCAAATTCGAAGGAAAAATGGGATACCAAATAGCAATCACAAACGTCGGCCTCGACCCAACTAGAGAAGCAAAAGACTGACGAAGATGATGATTATGGGATCCCTCGATCCTTCGTGGTCCCCGATGATTCCGATGCTACCAAATCAACGGTCGAAGAACTGGAGCAAATCATATTAATTGAACATCTTCCCGAACAAAAGGTATACCTGGGCACATGGTTAAGTCCCGAGCTCAGGAAAAAGCTTATTCAATTTCTTATACCTAATATGGACTGTTTTGCTTGGTCTCATCTTGACATGACAGGGATCCCACCGGAAATCACCATTCATAGACTAAGCTTGGATTCGAAATTCAATCCAGACTCTAGAATGCCAGCAGGCCTTGGAGGAACTAAAGCTGTATTTACTTCATACCTCGAAAGTGAACGAACAACTTTACCTGTACTTAGCTGTCTCGGAGATAGCAGTAAGTGGAGTCCTGGTCCGAGAAGAACAAGGTACGTAATTCCCTATTTATTATTTCAGTCGGACCTTAGGTGAGGCCGAAACTAGATATCCACACTTAGAAAAATTAGCGCTTGCTTTAATAAGAGCCTCTAGGAAACTAAAACCATATTTCCAATGTCATCCGATATGTGTTGTAACAACTTATCCTCTTCGAAATATTTTAAACAAACCCGAGCTTTCGGGTCGATTGTCCAAATGGGCCATAGAAATCAGTGGGTACGATATTGAGTATCGACCCTGAACCGCCATCAAATCTTGGCGGACTTCGTGGCTAACTTTACGCCGGCCTTCGTACCCGAGATTGAGAAAGAACTACTGATAAAATCAGGGACATCTTTGGGAGTCTGGACCCTCTTTACGGACGATGCTTTGAACGCGAAGGGGTCCGGACTAGGTATCGTACTAAGATAACCCACCGGTAATGTAGTTAGACAGTCTATCAGAACTACAAAATTGACTAACAATGAGGCCGAGTATGAGGCCATGATTGCAGGTCTCGAACTAGCTAGAATCTTGGGAGCGGAGTCGTAGAGGCTAAGTGTGATTCCCTCCTCGTGGTAAACCAAGTTAACTGGAGTTTTGAAGTCCGAGAAGATCGAATGCAGAGGTACTTGGATAAACTACATGTGACTCTACATCGATTTAAGGAATGGACCTTGCAACATGTACCT